TGTCCTGGTGCCTAGCCCCCTGCTCTAACCACTAGACCCCACTCCCCTCCCAGAGCCAGAACCCAGGAGTCCTGGCTCCCAGGCCCCTGTTCTAACCACTAGACCCCACTCCCCTCCCAGAGTTAGAACCCAGGAGTCCTGGCTCTCAGGCCCTGTTCTAACCACTCAACCCCACTCCCCTCCCAGAGCTGGGGAGAGAACCCAGGAGTCCTGGCTTCCAGCCCCCCTGTTCTAACCACTAGACCCCACTCCCCTCCCAGAGCTAGAACCCAGGAGTCCTGGCTCCCAGCCCCCTGCTCTAACCACTAGACCCCACTCCCCTCCCAGTGAGGGGGCTGCACTGTGGTGATGTCCTGTATCCACAGCCCCGGCTCCGTCAGGACGCCCCCTGTGGAGGGAGCCCAGGCCCGACAGGCCCGACGCTGGCTGCGACGGGGTGCAGGATCAAGTTCCTGGGCCCGCCCGGTCCCATTCCTGGGGGGGGCAGGGGGGGGCTCTCACCTGCTCCAGCTTGGAGGCGTCGGAGAGGAGCGTGAGCCACTCCAGGCGCAGGTGGAGCTGGCCCTGGCCACCGTCCTGCAACGGGAACCACTGCGGGGGGACGGGACATGGGTCAGCCCCTGAGCCCCATCTGTCCTTCCCCATCCTCAGCCCCCCGAACCCCCCACCTTGCTCCATCCACTCACGTCCCCACCCCAAGGGGACCAGCTCTGACCCCCCCAGACCCCACCAGGCCGAGCGTCTCTCAGAGCCTGGCAGCAAACAGGTTTCTCGGCCCGGGGAAATTTTCTGCCCAAATTGGGAGAAAAAGTTGAAATCTCGACAATTTTTTATGAATCGGGGGCGGGGGAGGGGACGGACACGACCCAGCTCGGCTCAGCGTCGGCCTTTTCCGAAGCCAAACGTCGGTTCCCGCCCTCCGCGGCGCCTGGCCCGGACCCCCGCGGCCCAGAACCGACTCCTTTCCCAAGCGTTTCCAGACGCCCCCCTGCAGCCCCCGGAGAGACCCTCGCAGCCAGCCGGCCTCTCCCGGAGGAAACATGGAGTCAAGAAATTCCCAGTCAGTTCCCCCACCTCTGCACCTGGGAGAGACACCCCCCAAATCCACACACACCCACAGTGCTCCCCCCAGCCCGGCCGTCCCCAAACCCGCCCCAATTCCCTCCTGCTGCCCCGTGCGCCCCCAGATCCACGCACCCCCCCA